ACATTTAAAATTTATACAAAACCATTTCGAAGAATCTCGATTATTTTTGGATGCTTTGAAACAGCAAAAACTTTTACTATTGTATAGAAGCATTTGGGAGCAGCTGTTCATTAGGCAGAGTGAAGTTCTTGAAAAAAATTTCACGGTTTTCCGACCGTAATTGTCAGTTAATGCTTTCTTATTCGCTGGACTCTTCTGTAAGAAATCAAAAAGAAATCTTATAATCAAGAATAAAAATTAGAGATACAAAAGAAGTAAAAACTTCAGGACTAATATGTTTAAAAGTTTTAATTCTTATTTAATAACTTCAAAATATTCCTAAATCATTCTTTTTCATGTTTGTTAAGACCTGTTCTTTTATAAAAGCAATAGAAAAAAAAAACTTATTTTTTGAAAATGTGTTACGTTTGTTCTTCTTAAGGTTAAAACTTTAAAATCAGAAAAAATTACTTTAGAAAGTATTGCATTTAAAAGCAGTTAAGATTTGAACTCAAGCTCTTGGTCTTAACATTATTGGATTCATATTTCTAATCGAAAACGATAGCTAATTAAAACACCAGAAAAAAAAGTTAAACCAATTCTGATCGTTTTTTTAAACTTGATGCAGTTCTGTAATATACATATGACGTTATGACATTTTGAAGTCATCTTTTAGAACTAACCAGAATCTCCGCATAAATGAGGACATAAAAATGGCGCGACCATCGCAACAATACACGCAGGTGTCGACAAATTACATGGATTGGGAAGGCAACAACAGTTCCCAACATCTACAATAAGTGTTTCTTTTTAAACAGATGAAATGTTTAAAGTGTTTTTTATGGCTATAAATTGGCATTTATTAGAATAGTCAACAAAAGTGATAATTGTTTCTTATTTGGTGCTGATCTAGGTGAACTATAATACAAACGACACAAACTTGTATTAAGAACGAAAATAAATCCAAGCGCAATCAGGAGGGCGAGAAATTTCATTTTTTACAGAACCTAAAAGAAAGCAAAAATTTTATTTATACGCATATTGAACAGCAAGAAAAACAACAATTTCTACATTGTAAAACTCGAGCTTTTTCGTATGTGATATTAAATTGTCAGAAACACTTAAAATTTGGCCAAAAGTTTGAAAAAGTTTAGTGATAAAAAGTTGCTCTCAAAATTATTATCAGCTTTCTAAATTAGTCTATTAGCGGAGCGCAAAAAGTTATCGAGCTATGGACAAATGTATATTCCTTTAATTCATCTTTTTCTTCGTCTTTTATACCTGTACAAAACTCTGCTATTTCTTGCTGTCTTACCAGTAACTGGTAAAATTAAAAAACAACAACAAGAAAAAAGACCTTGGTATTATTTAAAATAATTTTAACAAAGACTGAAACGTCGATAACACAGCAGGAATGAAAAAGTATAAAAGAAGGAAAAGCTATTAATAATTGAATCGTTTGCCGTTGAACTCATTCGCGTTTCCTTTATAACTGCGGAAAAAAAGGTTTGAGAAGTCACTAAGTAATACTGTGATATCAATACGTGTCAGAAAAAGTCAGAAACTGCCTAGACAAAAGATGGTATTTTGTACCATTTGCTTTTATTTTTAAAGAAACTGACATTGCAGACAGTTTTCCAATTGCTATTACCTTTAACAAACATAACTTTTCATAGCTCAGTTGCCGGAGCCCAGGATACACAGTGAAGAAGAAACAAGATAATCATATGACTTATGCCTATAATAACTAAACAGAACTTCAAACAGAATTTAGCAATCTGATAGAAGAATGATATGTTTAATAATTGTTAAAATTAATTTTTCGGTTGGTTTAAAACATTAATCTCATCAAGTCTTCCAGCTTTAAAATCTAACAGACAATACAGTTTGATAATAAGCCTAACGTAGAATATACAGTATTTTAAACATGGAATATAACGTGACGTAGAATATCGAGTATTTTACATGTGTTCTCTTCACTGGGCTTCTGTAGCACTTCAATGTTCACCCGGCAGTCAGCAAGAAAAAAAAAATTAGAGTTAATGCTGATAGAGAGCAAAACCGCTATTAGATTCCACCGTTGTTTACCTTATGATTCTTTGATGGACACTTGACGAATCACTATAAATACAAATAACTAAGTGTTGAAACTGTTGTTGCAAATAAATACTGGAAATTCAGAAAATTCATTATGAATAAGTTTATCTTTTTCATTTCGCTGTGTTTAAATTTTGCTTCATTGTACAACTTTCTCAACTTCAGATAGTCATTTCGCTAGTTCAGGTTCAGAAGAATAAAGCATTTTTAAATATCCCAACACTTACACCGAACAACGTCTTTTTGAGTGATCACAACTGCTCAAATTATTCCTTATTGCAGTGTAGACATATCCTGCATTTCGGGTTTACATTTTGCAGCTGCTTTAGTTGCTTAGATTACCAATATCAGTTCTGACAAGAAAAAAATGTTCTCAAATAGAGTGTACTTGTATAATCAGAAAACTGCAAAAAAATGTTTTCAAATAACACTTATTTGCTGTTCTGAAAGTGACTTATGCGATGTACCATCTATTATTTCTGTATAAGTTTGTTAAATTTTTCTTTATGACTGTATTAATAAAAGCATTAAGCAAGAAGTTAATTGACCTTGAAAGCTTTGACTCTTGTTCCATTTGCAGTGAAATTACTTCACGGGTACCAAGAAGTTTTTTTTCGTTGTATCTTAGTTATTTCTAGCTCAATAAATCTGCACTTGAACGCCACTGAAATTTAGCGACACAAAAAGCATAAACCTGACAAAATAATACCGCATTTGGAATGCTGTATACGTTTACCGATCAATTAAAACAAAAGTTTTTTTTTTAAACAAATTTATT